TTTTTTTAAAAAAAGAGAATAAATACCAGTAATTACAGCCACAATAGCCTTATGGAGCCTCCATATTCAGGAACAATCTTCTCTTGAGTAAAAAACACCAGGGGTAACAAGAAGAAAGAGCTTGGCCTTGAGAAAACCCCCCACCCTCAAAAGCGATGTCAAGAGCTGAGTGGCTGGATTAATAAATTTTTGGGAAGGACCCAAATGCCACCTAACGCTTACCTGTCTCCTGATGCAAATAGTTCTCGACTTACAACAGTTTGTTTAGTGGCCTTTCAAAGTTACAACAGCAGTGAAAAAAAATTGGGACCAAAATTCATACCTTTGGCAATTGACTTATATTTTATGACGGTTTGTGACCGGGGGTGTGTGGGGTGTTCATGTCCTTATGATGGTTGCAGTGTCCCGGATGTGTGTGTGTGTGTGTGTGTGTGAGACGTGATGCCTTTTTGCCACCTGACAAGCAAAGTTAACGGGGAAGCCAGATTGACTTAACGACTGCAGTGTCCCACTTAAGAACTGTGGCATGAAAGGTCGCAAAACGGGGCAAGGCTCACGTAACCAATGTCTCGCTTAGCAATTTCTCGAAATTTGGGGGGGAAGAATTGAAGTCGTAAGTCGAGGGCTACCATGAGATGGGTCGCTCCCAGTTCGGCCGAACAGGGCCGAACCAGAAGTGAGAATTCAGGCCTGAGTCGCAGAACCAGCGGCGACCCAGGCCTGCCACGCCCCCAAACCCGTTCCTTGGCTGCCGCCATTTTGGATTTTAGAGACCAGTTCACTGCAAATTGTTCTGTGCATGCACCCTCTTTATTCATTCTTCTTCTCCTTCAGGTGGTGGCTTATGGGTTAGACATCTACCAGACCAGAGTCTATCCCTCCAAACAGTTCGACGTCCTCAAAGACGATTACGATTACGTCTTGATCAGCAGCGTGCTGTTCGGCCTGGTCTTTGCCACCATGATCACCAAGAGGCTGGCTCAGGTGAAGCTGCTGAACCGTGTCTGGCGGTAACGGTTGAGAGATTCACACAGATCCACCCTTGAGGGCGGACGGCCGAGTCTTCCCGGTGGGTTGCAGCCTCATTTGAAAGGGGGGGGGGGTACTGCCCCTTTCCCCCCTTGAGGAAGAGAGAACTGTGGAACCGTGCTGCCTATTGCCCACACACCCGTCTCCAATTCACTGCGGAAAACGAGAGATTCCAGAAACGGGGAAGGGTCTGTGAAATTAAGCTGCTTTGAAAAAATGTTTCTTCCCCACACCCTCTCCTCATCCTTTGATGCCTGCAACTGCTTTTGCTGTTGAACTTTCTACGACGACCATTTCGACTCCTGAAGCCGTGATAAAACATTGTCATCCTTTTTTTCTTCCCCTTGAAATTTTAGCTGATTTGAGGAATCCACCCGATTTTCTTCTTTCTGTCCTCTTTCTCGGATTTTCAACAGAAGAAAATGGCTGGTGCGGGGGGAGACAACGACATGGGGGGGCAGTCTTTTGAGCAAATGTGTGAAACATAAGCTTAGAAAATGCAGAAGATGAATTTGGGGAAATGGATATAAACGGGGGGAAAAGATGCCAAAGATGGCTTCCAGGCCTGACAGACCTCTCCCCGGATTTTCAAGGGCCAGCGAGAGCTCACTAGATGCCACTGAAACTCCCTGTGTTACTCTCATTGCAGGACACAATCTTCTGATCTAAGGGGGGAGAAGCCTGTCAGGCCTGGAAGCCGTCTTTGGCAAAAGACGGCTTCCAGGCCTGACAGTGAGCCTGTTCAATCTTTAGTGTCCCTAGCAAAGAATTCAAAAGAGAGATGAGCCTGTCTTTTCCCTGCATTGAATTTTTAAACTTCTCTTTCTTAATTGGCTCTTTTTTCTCTCTCCTTTGTCTTATAGTTTCCTAATTTATATTGAAATTTTTTTGCTCAGTCCAGATTTGGGTTATGGGAGTCCTTGAAGCTCATTGAAAAAAAAAGCAAGTTTGTCTTTCTAAATGCAACATTTTCCTGAATGTGGTTTATTTTTTTCACCTTATGGCAAGCAAGTGGCTTGCTAAGAGTCATCTGTCGGTTCATTTATATTTATTCTGAAGAGGGTTTTGGGTCGCGGTGGGCAGAGTCTAAATCTGGAGTTTGCAGGGTAGAAATTTCTGTTGGAAAAATGTGAAGTCAAGACCTATTCTCCCTGTATCCAAATCACGCACAGCAGAAATAAAATAATAATAACAACAGTGTGTTGGAAGAAATGTTCTTCTGAGTTCAGTTCCAAGTGGGGAGAAAGACACTGGGAAACATGGCGGCTGTTTGGAAAGATGGTTTTTAATGGTGGACAGGATCACATGCCCTGATGATGATGGGTGAAGAAGGAAAAAGGGAGAAGATGCTGAGAGTGCCTTGAGTTTTATACCCTCTCTGGGCTCTTTTGAATTTGACCTTGTATTCTGATTGGTTGTCAGGCTCCCATGGGGCCATGGGGGGGGGGAATTCTGTAGGCTGGCCTGAGTCCCAGGCTTGGTTGACTCTTGCTGGGTGATGATGTAATAAAAGGGCTTTGGGCAATTCCTACCATGGCTCTGCCTGAAGGAGGTAGATCTTTGTTATATAGAATAGAATGGCTCAGGCCTTAATGGCTCCATTGACAAAGGAGGGATGAGCTTCTGCCTTCCTTTTAGGGGAAATATTCTGCCCTTTTAATATAATCTGGGGGACGGGTGGGTGCTACCTTCCTACAAGTGGATTTGCTTCTTTGTCTCCCTAAAGGTGTGTTTAACTGGCACGCCTTGCCTAAGGAGCACCATTATTTCCATCAGCTTTATTAAGTTTTATTGTTCACACACACACAGATATTAGATTGCAAGCTCTTTGGGCCAGATATTTGAATTTTAAGCCATTTATGTGTTAAATTGCTAACACAAAATATTAATAAGCTCATGTGTTGGATGATTTCAAAACACATCCAAGAAGTTCAAACTTTTTTTTAAAAAAACAACCCACTTTTGCCCATAGAAACCCTAGAGGAGCGAGGGCGCCTGCGCAGCTGCGCCCTCGAGATAAAGTCGCTGAGTCACCTTTCTGCGCACGCGCCCTCCCGCACCTAACCGGGAAACGAAATTGATATTGCGCCCCCGGCGTTCCTTTGGCTTCCTCTCCATGCGGGGGCGGAAGAACGGTCGGAAATAGCCGCGGGGCGTTCTAGCCGTCCGTGCCGGAAGTCTCTGCCGCGCTTCTGTGAGGCGAACCTGCAGTCCCCTTGTGAAGGCTCAATTTTACTTCTGGACGTTGGGAGCCTGGAAGTCGGTTGATAATAACGAAAAAAGCGCCCAATTTATTCTTTAGGGCCGTTGGTTGTTTCCCCCCCCTCAGAGAACAGACCGGTGTCGTTGGGGGGGGGCGGAGTTTCAACCTGAATCAGCGGTCGGTCGACGTCATTTCCCCCGCGACCCGGAAGCGCTTTCCCCGGCCTCTGGTGTCTTTGCCTCAGCAACTCTAACGCTACTGGAAGCAGAACTGAGGAGAGTCGGCGGCAAGATGGCGGCGTCGGGGGGCGTCGGCGGCGGGCCCGGGTCTTCGGAGCGGGATCCCGGCTGGGAGGTGGCGGTGCGGCCGCTGCTGTCGGCCTCCTACTCGGCCTTCGAGATGCGCGAGCTGCCGCAGCTGCTGTCCGCCGTCATTGAGAGGTGGGAGGAGAAGGGGGCGGGGTTTCAACCCTCCCCCCGCCCTCCGGGTGGGAAGGGGGGGCGCTGTGGGGGGAGGGCCTCCGGGGATGGAAGACACCTCCCTATTTTGCACTGGCGCCCCCCAAAAACCTCCCCCTCAGGTCTCCCTCGGCTTGACAGCTCCTAGTGGGCGGGGAAAAACGAGGCCACGCCCTCCCCTCACAAAACCTCCTGCTGCTGGATGATGGGAGTTCTAGTGCTTGCCCAGCTGCGAAGCAGCCTGGCCGAAGAGAAAGACCTGCCCTTCTGGGGATGATGGAAGGGGTGGTTGGTCCACCTGGGAGGGAACGCCTCTTGGGGACAGTTCCCAAAGGATGTGGATGATGGGAGTTGTAGTCCTTGCTCAGCGGGGAGCAGCCTGGCTGAAGAGGATTGAAGGAGAGAACCAGGCCTTTGAAGATGATGGGAGGTGTAGTTGGCCCACCTGGGGGGGGGGGAGCCTCTTGGAAAAAGTGCCCAAAGAATGTGGGTGATGAGAGTTGTAGTCCTCGCCCAGGTGGGAGCAGCCGGGCTGAGGGGGATTGAAGGAGCGAACCCACCCTTTGGAGATAAATGGGAGGTGTAGCTGGTCCACCTGGGGGGGGGGAGCCTCTTGGAAAAAGTGCCCAAAGAATGTGGGTGATGGGAGTTGTAGTGGTAACATGGTGGTTGAAAGGAGCCCTGCTGTCCTGGAGTTAGAGGGAGCATCTTAAAGGGTGGTGTTGGGGGTGCTGAGATGTACAAAAGTTTCGCGTTCTGAATATCTGAGATGGGCTGGTTCTTTGTAGTGCCATGAAGTTGCCTTTGATCATCATTTCTCTGGGTGGATGTAAAACAGCCATGCTGATCTTTTAAGATCTCTTTGATCTAAAGACATTTGGACCTTCCAGACACATCCTGAGGGGCAAAAGGAAATGTGTTTTAAAGCTGTTTGAAAAGTGGGTCAGTTTGATCAGTTGGAGGCCTGGCCCTACAGGTTCCTTTCCCAG